CTACAGCTGAGGTGGGAGAGTCTGTCCATAGGACAACAATCAGTCGTGCACTGCACAAATCTGGCCTTTATGGAAGAGTGGCCATTTCTCAAAGATATCCAATAAAAGTCTCTTAAAGTTTGCCACAAGCCACCTGGGAGACACACCAAACATGTGGAAGAAGGTGCTCTGGTCAGATGAAACCAAAATCAAACTTTTTGGCCACAATGCAAAATGATATGTTTGGCGTAAAAGCAACACAGGTCATCACCCTGAACACACCATCCCCACCTCAGCTGTAGTTATCTGCAGTTCATCCAGAGTGATCATGGGCCTCTTGACTGCATCTTTGATCAGTCTTCTCCTTGTTTGAGATGAAAGTTTAGAGGGACGGCCGGGTCTTGGTAGATTTGCAGTGGTCTGATACGCCTTCCATTTCAATATAATTGCTTGCACAGTGCTCCTTGAGATGTTTAAAGCTTGGGAAGTCTTTTTGTATTCAAATCCGGCTTTAAACTTCTCCACAACAGTATCTCGGACCTGCCTGGTGTGTTCCTTTGTCTTCATGGTTCTCTCTGCGCTTTAAACAGAACCCTGAGACTATCAAAGAGCAGGTGCATTTATACGGAGACTTGATTACACACAGGTGCATTCTATTTATCATCATCAGTCATTTAGGACAACATTGGATCATTCAAAGATCCTCACTGAACTTCTGGAGTGAGTTTGCTGCACTGAAAGTAAAGGGGCTGAATAATATTGCATGCCCCACTTTTCAGTTTTTTATTTGTTAAAAAAGTTTAAATTATCCAACAAATTTCATTCCACTCCACGATTGTGTCCCACTTGTTGTTGATTCATGACAAAAAATAAAAAAATTATATCTTTATGTTTGAAGCCTGAAATATGGCGAAATGTTGAAAGGTTCGAGGGGGCCGAATACTTTCGCAAGGCACTGTAGTCTACTGTTCTCCTATTGCGGCTGAGGCAACCATACCTGCTATCTACATATCTTTGTCAGTGCAGCTTATCCTGCACCCTTCTGTTTCTGGATACTCACACGTCACACCTTAGTATTTTCTCGTTCAGTAAGGTTGTAAAAAATCTAGTGCTGTCAGTTAAACACGTTAACAATGCCATTAACGCAAATCCATTTAACAGCATACTTTTTGTGATTAGAAACAATCCTGTCCCTGTGTAGAAGACCGTACAAGCCACATGACTGCTATACAGCAGCAAAAGTCAGATGTATGTGTTTGTCCTCCGGGTTTCTCTGTCAGACGTAAGACTTGAAAGAAAAAACAATGTCCAGAATCACTGTTAAACCTGCCAGCCCATCTTCTAATGTTTACTGCAAGTTTTCTGGACATGTGGAGCTGATAAGGTTTACTCTTCAATGTGCTGATAACGGCTGTAATTCCTATAGAGCTCTAAAACAGTTCTTGTTTTGTGCTTTACAAATTTTATTTTCATTGCTTTTTTTCTACCTGAGATATTGCTGCAGTACAGTGTTCACGGTTTTCCAGTTTTCCAGACCAGATTGGAGAGGATTCATGGTCCAAACCAAGCGGATCAGGCAAAAATCCACTGGAGGAATGCAAACTTTTTGAGAAATACTAATTAAGCATTTAGCCTTTTACTTTCGACTAGAGCAGAGAAAATGGTCCGAACCAAGTTGCTACTCCACCTTGTGCCTTGTGACCTGTCCTGCTCCACCAAGAGGCAACTCCTCATCTGCTGCTGTGACCGATCCTGCTCCACCCAGAGGCTACTCCACCTCTGCTGCTGTGACCTGAAGGGCTGTTGCTGACTGTTGTTAGCTTCTTACAATGATAAATATATATTTTTTTTTTTTGCTGCTACTGGACACCTGAATTTCTCCTATGGGGATCAATAAAGTATCTATCTATCTATCTATCTAGTGTCAAGGCCATTAGCACAAGCATACTTTCTATATATTTTAATTCGCGTGGGTCATACAACGAGCGCCTGGCCGCGTGCTTGGTGCGTCACCAAGCGTTGTGCATGCTCCAGGCTTCTGATCTGAAATCAGCTCTGCTTCCTCCTACGCACACTGCTGTGCAAGCCTTTTTTTGCTTAAAAACGTGCGTGCTGTGTAGCAGGTACAGCCCAAACGTTGAAGCTCTAGTTTTATTTCCACTGCGCGTGAAAGTCATTTAGTCTACTGTGGTAAATAGTTCTACACTTTAAAAAGCAATAACAAAATCCAAATGCTTTATTTTTGGAGGGGATTGGATTAAGATAATCTTTTTGCTTCATCAAATCCCTTTTCAAACCAAATGAATGGTCATTCAGAACAGAGGAAAATGTGTGATAAATTGTAATTAATCTTGTTTTAACTTTGACATTAATGCGATAAATCACGATTCAATATTTTAATTGTTTGACAGCACTAATAATAAAATAATTAATGATAACAATGCAATACAGCCTTTTTGCAAGCATGATTGTGTGGAACGTCTGTTACACTTCTCTTGAATTAGTTCTGATCACCAATTCTCTGACATATTTGATTGTGCACATGACATGCACTTTATAAACCATGTGCTTCTCTGAAACACATTTAAAGCGTTGTTATCCTCAAATCAAATATATAGTATTGGTGCCAGTGTATGTATATAGAATGCATTCAATTCAGTCCCAGTGTATCCTCAACCAAACTCGGGTCGTCCCATTATAGGCCTCTTATTACAAGCCTGGCAAATGCAAGTATACAGTATGAATAGTTTTACAAGGCCAAGGAAAAAATAAGAGCAGTTGGGGGGGTCATGTGAGGGGTGTGTTAGATGGGGGGGGTCTAGCGAGAGAAAACAGGTTGTCACTGTGGTTCAACGAGAAAATAGGGCTCAGCCTCCACAGATGTTTCATTCAGAGCCATTTTAAAAAGTGCTTCAGACCCCAACACAATTCAGCCCCTTTGTGCGCTGAAGGAGAGGAGCTCAACCCACTGTTTACGGCTTCCCCCCCTTTCTGCCATCAGCACCCCTCCTCTCCCCCCGAGGTCCTCGTGTTAGCGGCCGGAACAATTGGGGAGGGTCCTGCCTAGAGCCGGGGCGGTGTGGCAGGTCAACAGAATGGGCTGTGAATCCTGTTGCTCTGAATCCTTCTGGGTGGGTGGTCTGGTGCTCTCACACACACAGAAAAACACAAGAACACGGTGTCGCTAGCTCTGCTCTCCATTAGCTCATCCAGAGGGCTAGAGCGAGACTGGGCTGCTGCTGTTGCTGCTGCTGTAGCTGCTGCTCCAACTGATGAGAGGATGAGTTTGGAGGTGGCTCGTAATGAGAACGTCTCGCTAACAGAATAGTGCATGCTGTTCTTTGTTAATTGACCTTCATTTAACTAGGAAAGTCCCATTGAGACTTCAGAATCTCTTTTTCAGGGGAGTCCTGGCCCCAGACAGGCTTTGTTTGTATCTTACCCATTTTTTCATATTATTCTCTACAAATTAGATTTGATCATTTTGGGGGGACTGGAAATTAAAGTGGATTAAAATTGCAGGAATATTGGCAGCAGTTCTTGTATTTTTTGTTGCTGTGGAGGTCTTCTTTACAATTTTACATACAATTCCTCTCCCAAAATCACATGTTAATCTATTGTATAATGTCACATTGGGACATTTGTATACAATTGTTATATTGCTTAATTGGTATTTACTTTTAAGTAAGCACCATTTGGGCTAGTGCCATAACTGGAGTTTATAATCTGGGGTTACAGGAACAGACTTCTGGAGAGTTATTTTATTATTGATATAAACTGGTGTTTAATTAATGTTTTTGACGTGTGTTTGCATGTGGGCAGTGAGCAGAAGAAGAATTTCCTCCTGAAGACATGATTGTATATTGTTGGATCTACAGTAGTTCTGTATAATGATGCCACTAAATATAAACATAAGTAGTTTGACATTCTGATCCATAGATAGTCAGTATACCTGTCATGACACCTACAGACTTCAATCTTTGCTCTTGATGTTCCACTGATGCCTTTTCCTTTGTTACAGTGACATCTAGTGAGCAAAAAGACCATGGTTTTTTCTCCGATTTTTAACAATGCTGGCCATAAATGTCATTTCTGGATACCCTGTAGATAGTTGATATCCATTCTCTAGGTAAAATAATAAGAACAATATAAAGTCTTCAGCATATTGCTTGTACTACACTTAAGATTGAGCTAGACAAATATTTAATGTCTGAAGCAAAGCCACTTTTCAATATAAGTGACACTCGATATAACAAAAAAGGTGATTGGTTCATATGCTTTTTCAACAGTATAGAAATCCTTCTTATCAAGGCAAAACTCTAATTTTGGGCATATATCCAGCTCTTCTTGTCTTACTTTGTTAAACCATCCTTTTGTCGTTGAATAGAAAATATATAATAATCTTTTTGTGGTAAATTGAATAGCATAATGGGCAGAGTGGGTATAGCACTCTCGCTTCTCAGGAAGAAGGTCCTGGGTTTGAATCCCGGGGCCTTTCCTCCGGGTGCTCCAGTTTCCCCTACCACTAAAAACAAGAATAAAAGATATGAATGTAAATGAGAGAGTGAATGGATGGTGTTGATTGGGGGCTTTGATGCGCCAGTGCGTTCGGCGTCTTGCTTCTGTCATCACCGTGTGTGGAATGATTGGAACAATACCTGACTCTGAACTTTGTAAAGCGTGTTGGGTGACCTTGGTCTGTAAAATGCGCTATATAAATAAACATTACCTACTTACTTACTATACCTATAAAGATAAATAGTGTTATTAAGTACCTTGTGATGACGTGGTTGATTTTATGTTGACGGTTATACCCTCTTGCTCACCCTCATTTACATTTCTTCACAACTCTAATGCAAGAGTAATGTCTGATGTAATGTCAGATGTTGTTTCCTCTCGCACAACACTACACTGATGCATCCTCTTTTTGGTTCTTGTAATGTGCGACGCTGCATGTGATTCAAGCATCGTTTTGAGCTTGTACAGTATTCAAGCTGATTTGGCTTTTCCCGATGTTAATAATGACGTACACAGCTGGCTCCTATATCCTTGGTAAGTTATTAACAATTATTTATGTTGTTTGTGTAATAAATAGGGAACTATTGGAGTTTTTGGACAGACATTATTTTGATTCTCCTTTGCCAAAAACCGCTCTACCACCACATAATCATTATGTATGTCATATGGTTAGCACTGTCGCTTCTTAGCCAGAATCCTGGTTGGCACAGCGCCTTACTGAGTGAAGTTTGCATGTTCTCCCTGTGTTTTGGTAGGTTTCTCCCACCCTTAAAAACATGTACAATGTGAAATTGGCCAAACAGGATGTTTCCCAAGACTTCATAATATGCCAGTTTAATTGTCAAACCAATAAATCGGTCGTTCCCTAAAATGTATTGTGTCTAATCTCATACACTTAAATGCAAGTTTGCTACCAACTTTTTCTGTGCACATTACAGCTTTTTTTTTAATGACATCTATCCTGGCAATTGAACGGAACGACACAGACGACTTTGGAAGCGTCACCCCTTCAATCCCCATCAGCAGCACCTTAAAAAATATCACCAACACCACAATGACGACTGTGACCAACGCAACCTCATCCGAAACTAATATCTCTCAGACTTACTCCTCAACAACTCAAGGTCTGCTCTAGTATGTGCATTTTATATTTGTTTAAATAATTGTGTCTAAACTGCCTCTGTATTTCTAATAGTGCCCATTGCAACAGAAAAACTGCCTGATGATCAAGCCAACCCAACTCCGCCCGTTTATCCACCAATACCTACACTCAGAAAGCCCACTACCAGCACCAAATCAAAAGACAGTTTTAAGGATATAGTAAGTAAGTAAAACATGGGTGTCTGTAGCAAAACTAAATATCATATGTCTGAGAAGTAGCTTACATAGTGAAATGTTTAAGTTACACTTCTCCACCCATTTAAGAAAGGTAGAATGCAATTTTTGGGAAATATGGTGGCATTCATTCAAGAGATGAGCGAAGACTACATTTTAAAGCATTTTAGCACATGCAAAATCATTATTTCATCAGCATAAATGTTTATAAAGATAAAACTGATTTGGACCAGGAATCTACCTCACAATATTCTTTCAATTTCAAATTAATACAAATTCAGACACTGATTGGCTGTTTGTTTGAAGCGCCTGTGTTCTGGCGTTCTCATATATTTTTTTCCTTGGCACTTGCACTTTTTGCAGTTCCTCACATAAAACAAAGTTGGAGAAGGTGCTATCTTCCAACATTCCGCCCAATGCCATCAATGTGCCCTGAGTTCATTCAAGAGTAAACTAAATAAAACAAAAAAATGAAGACCAAGGGTAGGAAAATGTATTCGTATAGTATTCCAGATTTCATTCTAATTCCGGAAACTCAAACTTGTATAAATCCATGAACACACACATACCTATTACATCCCACCTATTTCTAGCACATTATGCATTCATTCAGTATTTTAATGACGGAAAGGTAATGACAACTATGGTTTAATCACTTACTACAGTGACTACTCCCAATGAGGCAAGCAAAGGCAGTGATGGTGTTGGTGAGTGTCAACAACAAAAAATGTGAATACAAATGTTTTCACTTGAATGAACTTGCTCTTTTTAATTGTCCAGGCTACATAATCTTGGTGATCATCATCATCATCGCTCTCCTGGCTGGACTTGTCTGCTATGTGGCACGGAGTAGAGGAAGAGTATGATTAGTTGGTCACAACTCTTGAATTCATATTATTACTACCGTATTTTTAGATTATAAATCGCTCCGAAGTATAACTCGCACCAGAACCAAAAATGCATAATAAAGAAGGAAAAAAACATATATAAGTCGCACTAGAGTATAAGTTGCATTTTAATAGCTTTATTGTTCAACTTAATAGCCTGGACTATTATTTGATATTTTGCGGTAAATAAAATATGAAATATAATAATTTCCCACGCCCAAGTCGCTCCAGATTATTAATGGCACCCCCGGCCAAACTGTCACAAAAACTGTGATTTATAATACAAAAATACGGTATTGCTGTGTGGGAGTTTATATTGTTTGTCCTTTTGCAGCGCTACTCAGTGGACCTGACCTCTAGGTATGTGTCACAGTTTTGAAATTAACGACTGCAGGTTTAGTCTTGTTTAATGTGGAATATTATTATCACTCTGACTGAAATCAAATTGGCAAAATATATGTATGACAGTTCAAAAAGCAGTTCGAGCACAGTACTCTGGCTGATCCTCTTTATTTCAATTTTCTGTCTAAAAAAGAAAATTGATGTGTTAGAGACTAAATTATTACATAAATGTGATAGAACCGAACTGTTTAAGGAGCCAGGAACTGGATTTCATAACATGGTTAAAAGCCCACCACTAGCATATGCAGGAAAAGTGTATGTTGAAAAGTTTAAAGAAAATGTCCCCACTGTGGGTTTAATAAAGGTATTGTTAATTAATTCTTTCAAAATGTTAAAGAAAGCCTTGTACTTAAGTTGCTTTCAGACCAGATCTGCAACTTCAGAGTGCTGCTTTCTTGAAACTTTTTATTGAAAGTTATTTACCCCAGCTTTACTGCCTTTAAGCAGTGTTTGAGACTAACTTATAAAATGAAACCTGAATTATCACAATTTACCAATTCATCTTGACAACCTTCCTCTAGGCCAGATGAAGTCCAGATGCCACTGAATACTGTGGAACCAGAGGGACCTGTTGAAACTGTTACATCTAACGGTAACTGAAAAGCAAAGAAAATATTACGGTACTTTATTGACAATTACAGTATTTTGTTATAAACATGTACATGCTGTCAAGAAGGACTGTACTGTGAGGGAACAGAAAGCATAACACAACAAGCCCAAGGACCAGAAATGACACCTAAAGTGGAACAAAAAGGTGAGGAGGAGTATTTATAAAGTTCTGAATTGTTGTATAATTACAGTGGGCCTCAATAATGAAACTTGCATACGGCCAAATCAGGGTGTAAATGAGGCGTACTCGAAAAAATTACACTTTTCGGTATTTATTAATCTGGACGTGAGCGTACGGTACGCACAGAATATAGGCCAGGTCTGGAGGTGGTGTAAATGTGTACGCTCATTTCAACCTTCATTACAACACCCCAAAACACGCATGAAATACAAGATTTGAACAACAATAAACATATTCCCACTCTGGCAAAATTATAAGCTGCGTTTTCATTGTACCAAATCAATATTTAATACAAAACTATAATATAAATTGGAATTTGGAATCTTTGAATTACTTGGATTGTTTTACCCAAAGATATAGCAAAACTAAAAGCTTCAAATTACAATACAATAATATCAAACATAAAAACAGCCTTAGCTAAATGGGAACTGATCCCATAATTGAAGAGTGGATATTATAAAGATGAATGTCTTGCCTCGGCAAGCTATACCTGTTTTTAAACCTTCCAATAGAGATTTCTGGAAGAGAATTCAAAAAGTGGGATAAAACTATTTATTTAGTTTTTCTAAAGCCAAGAGTGAAGTATAGAACATTACAATTGGCAAAACAAAGAGGGGGGCTTTCCCTACCATGTCTAAAAAGTTATTTCGAGGCAGCACAGTTGAGGGTCTTGCTGTATCTGTGTGACCCAGAATACACTGCGAGATGGAAAACTATAGAAGACGGATTGCTATAGACAGACCTCCAATACAGGCAATAATACATGATGAAAAACTGAGATGTAAGTGGAAACAAAATATGAATCCATGGTTGGAGCTCTCTGTTAAGATCTGGGCTGAAATTGTCTAGAAGCAGGAGAGTTTGGATGATGTATGTTGAACAACATAACTTGGATTTGGTCTAGGATATAACTAATACATCACATACCGGATGTGTATATATGTGTAAGCAAGAGTATATTTGTCAATTTCTGTTTTTATTTTTTTAATATTGTATTTTTATTACACTTTTTGGAAAACATGTACAAAACCCATGTCTAAGTACAAAGATGTTTCAGGTACAGCGAATGACAATGTATCTCTTATTATTTGTTTTTTGAAGTGTAAAAAGTTGTTAAAAACATTGAATAATATATAAAAAAAAGAAGAAAAAAAAAGAACGGGCTCATGGGCAGTGGCTCTTTGGGCAGTGCGCAGCGGGTGCCACAGAGGTCCCACCGCAATACTCGCCATATGCAGTGCGCGTCATTCAGACGTTTGGATCCAGAGTTTTGCTGTGAAATCACGGACACTTCCCCAAAAGCTTACGCATCCTTTCTCTCTCACAGAGATTGCTCCATCACATTCAAAAGGAAGATTCCGCAGACGCTTGACCCAGTTAATGATGAGCCACCGCTGAGATATTAAGATTCCTTCATTCATTCAGTCATTGATTCAATTATTCATTCACTTCTACAGTTCAAGAGAGATGAGTGCTGCAGTGGGTCACTATAGGGAAAAACGCGTATACATAAATTAGCGTATATTACATTTCAAACAAAATTATAAAATTTAAAAAAAAAAGTCAGTATAAACTTAGTGCCTGTCACTGTTTCTGAATATTTATAGGTGTGACTTTCATAAATACGCTGGTTTTGAGCGTGGCATTTATCAACACCCGCAGGTGCGTACGCTCGGATCTGGGCAGATCTCAAACGCTCATAAATCCTGCGTTAGATTTTGCTGAATTGGAATCTACACCAAAAATATACACCTTTTTCTGGAGCAAGTTTCATAAATGAGGGCCAATGTGAGATGTGTGGTGCTATTCAAACTTGTGAACAGGAGTTCCCATGATCAGTTCCTCTTTCGTAAGATCAGTTTAAACAGATAAAATCCAGCATCCCATTGCTTAATTTTGGTATTTAAAATGTTTCAAGTGCATGCTTAAGCACTACAGTTTTAAGTAGAATTTACAGGGCAACAAACTTGACAAACCAAAATAGTAATTTGAAACATGAAGAGGACAATTGAGTGTAATGCAATACCTCAGTCGACAACCTGATGGAGACAGAAGCCAAGTAAAGAGAAGTATCCTACAGCCAATAAAGTCAAGATATGTGAAAAGGGTATTGTCTGCTGTTTATACAGTAGGTATGTATAGGACAATTGTGAGTTATATATTATTAATGTCTTTATTCATTATTGTATACTATTATTTATTTGTTTATTTGAACAAGGACAGACGACAGAAAATTCAAACTTCAGACACTGCTAAAATTTCTAGGTGAACAGAGAAAGTTTCAAATCAACGTGTTCATCGATAAGTTTATAAATGTTCCTTAATAACCTTAAAATCCAAATCAAATTCACACTTTGTTTATTGTTACATCATCTGAAACCATCACAGTACTGAATTTTAATGTATTAATTTTTCATGAAAGGCAGAGTGGAAGTCATGACCTCCCCTGGCCATACAAAAAAGGAAGTTCTAATCGTACTTTTCCCACTTGTGTAATTTTTTAGTTAGTGGTAATGGAAAACAAATAACCCTATAAGCAAGCAGATTTGACTTTTTGCAAAACTAAAATAATATGTTTACTGATTTTTAACAATTTCCTATGGACATCAAAGTATGTGTGTAATGAAGGAGGAGAAAGAGGTACAAGATGTTGTTAAGTTCTGTGACTGTTATTTCGGCTGTTAGGGCATCATAAGGTTTGATCTTTGAGATGTGGCTTGTTAAATAAACTTTAAAAGATGTATTGATTACAGCTCTTTCATTTCAGATACATATATACTTGTGCTTGTTGTAGATTCTGAAATGCAGATTACTGTACATTACCTATTATAACAGTAATCTGACCTTTCCCTGTTAACCAAAAGCTACTGCATGTTTTCTGAGAGCGGGAATCATGTCTAAGGAAGTATCTTGGCAGAATTGTGTTGAAGAGTTTTCCCTTGCTTCTAACCTCAGGTCAGATAATGATGGGGCTCTCCTGCTTTCCCACACGATCCAACAGCTGCGTGGCTTTGGCTTATTAAGTCTCTCAGTAATCAGGCGCTTCATTACCGATGTGGTGGCCTCTTAAGATCTCTCTGGTTAGCCCAATCCCACTGTCACAGAGTGCAAAACCACCCCAGGCTACAGCCATAAAAACACTGTCATTATGTGGCACTGAATGACCACACTGCTATAAAAACTAAACTTTAGGCAGGCAGAAGTCACCACCTGGATTTGACAAAGCTAATGGCTAATAAATAAGAAGCTGTAATTACATTTTACAGCTGGTAATATTCAGCTGCACTTACTTGGGCCTTGTGATTGTTGCATTAGTGAAGGTCTTATTGTCAGTATAGTGCATGTAATTGTCATTTTCTACGTATATACTTATTTTTTGTATGTATTTATTTCAATTGTGTACATGACAATACACCACATGTGACCATTACATTTCAAATATCTTCTCACACAAAAGCAAATCTTATGTTGCCTACCCCCTTCTAAAATATGTGCAAATTAAAAGAAAATGTTATAGAAATGGACTGACTATATAATAAGGCCAAATGTACAAACCAACAACCACACTGTGTTAACTAAAAGCGCGGACGTGATGTTTGCTGCTTGCCTTGATGTGTCTGTGTATATGTTTATGTGTATGCGTCAAACTGAAATTTCCCCATTGTGGGACGAATAAAGGACCTTCTTGTTCTTAAAAGTACAACGTTAGAGATTTAATATTATATGACTAATATGCAAGGTAACTCTCCTTCATTGCAGCGGAGACAGAGAAAGCAGCTGAAAGTACTGGCTGTGCAGCTGACCACAACACTGAGGAGCGGAAGGAGGACGTCCCAGAAAAGAGCCCATCTGCACCTGTGGAGCCCAGCACAGAGGGTAAACCTGAAGATGAAGGAGCAGAAGGAAATGACTCCCACAAGAACTCCATGGACCCTCTAAAGGAGAGCAATGACAACAACAGTGACAGCCGAGGTCATTTTTACTAAAGCAAAGCCACAGTTCACATCATACACTGTATTACGATGACTGCACTTACTGTAAAATACTATAATATTGTAATACCCACTTTGAATGTGTTGGAGACATCTGACATGTATAGAAATCTATACAGGATATTACACGATTTGCTTGAAATAATAGAATAATAAGAGTAGGTTGTTGACTAATCCTCATCCCATGATTGAAATACAGTACAGATTATCTGTTCTGTTGGCAGTAAGGTCAGCTCATGTTTTCGGCAATAACAGTGGCAAAGGACATGCACTGGGTCAAAACAAATTATTGCATTTATCAGAGCGCATTTATTTAAGCGTAAAGAGAAGCCTTGAGCCACACATATCAATACTGACTTCAATTGTTTAGTGACAATGATGTTTCCTCATTCAACAGAAGGGGAAGCTGTGTGGAACATTTCTCAAGACAATGTGTGAATTTATCGGGTGAGAAAAATACTCCTCCATTTACGGCATATACCCACCCATTTGCATACATTTTTACATCACATGAGAGTATTGCTACACACTCTTGGCACATTCTTATTATTAGTGCATATTTGCAGAACTTGCCTTAATATGCCTTGCCCCTGAAATAAATTAATAAAGAACTTTTTAAGTAACCTAGATATTTAGCTTAATTAGGAACATGCAGTGAAAATGCGACTCCTTCACTGCAAACATCATTTACAGATTTTTTTCCATTGTTCTGTGTTCCATATTGATCTATTCAGCCCTGAAGAAAATAACGAAAGTCCCTAGACATTGAGCTTAAAAGTCAAATAGAAATGGATTATCGTTGTTGGTCATTTTCAGTTCTATCCTTGTCCCACAGGTTACAGAAAAATGCACATGTAAGTTCCTTTTATATAAAATCTTAGACCCTGACATGCTCTCAGCCTAATCATCATGTTCAGGAGCTGTACATCCCAGCGTGCACCTGCGCTCTTTGTCCCTCTCTTACGCACGTTCCTGTCCGCAGCCAGGGGCTAGATGAATTCACAGAGCTCCTAACAGCTGATGATAAGCTTACATCTGAGGAAGGGGCCATTGGTTTACAGTGTTAGCAGTCACGCATCATTGGTAATATAGTCAACAAGTGGTAATAAGGATTATTCAAGAATTTACAAGGATTTACAGCTAGCTAAGAAACATAGCAGCATATTTTGTGTCCTCTTATACTACTGTCCTGTATGTGCGCTGCAACATTGAAATTTCCCCACTGTGGGACGAATAAAGAATCTCTTATATTATCTTAAATTCAACCAGTATTCAGTGTTAAGATCTTGAGAAACAGAAGAAGTTTTAACTTTTTTGTTACTGACCGTTTGAGAGGAGAGTTCAACTTATAGTGTAAAGCATAGGTCTCCCAAATGTCCCAAATTTGGTTACATTGATTAGAGAACGTTTTGACTCATCTTAAAACAAGATTGAACCCTGGTGTAAAGGCTGTTATTTTCAAGATAGAAATATAAACCTGCCATTTCTTTAAAAAAATCCTTGATCCAGTCAGTCATCCGGATCACCTCCAAAATCTAATAATTTGTTCCTTGTCCCATGACTGAGATTTACTGAATCATTCCTAAACATCTGGCCAAAGATTTTTGCTAAAACAGAGAGACAAACAAACCCTGGTGAAAACATAACCATTATTATTATCATTTATCAAAGACCAATTTTTCCACAGTTTTTGACCAATTCTTCTGTGATGCTGGATACACATCGGTAGCGGGGGGCAGCCACAATGGGCAAAACCTCATCCCACTTCATGGGTTTGATAATAGCTTCTTTGTAAAACTGTAAATCAAAATTTGAAAGTGAAGTCTCATCTTGTCTCCACCTGGTTTGCCTATGACGGGTGAACTGGAAGCAGAAATTGAAAGGCCCCGCTCGGATCTGCTGTAAGGGATAATGGATGTGAGGTGACAGGTCGTAAAGCAGAGCCGCATAATTACACCTCTGTTTCCAGTGTGTTATTACGGAGTTAAAGTTTGGCTTTCATGTAGTGTGGCCAGCAATGGGAGAAACATGCAGCACCAGGGTGGTTTTCTCTACAAGGGGGGAAGAGGCTCACACAACAGACAGCAGTGATGGTAGCTTTGAAGCAGCTTGTTTTATTGGGAAAAGAGTAGTTCAGAGACAGGTCAGGAAGGTGAGTAAGGAGAGGCCTATATGTAATGGTTTAGTAAAACAGTGAATGTCCCATGATTACAATTTCTGTATCCCTTTACTGTATGATAAGATATATGGACAATATCAGAGTTTGTAAACAAATTCATTGCAGTTTGAGTTTATGATAGAATGTGGGGAAGCTGGCCAAAGGGTCAAGCAGGAGGCAGCCGAGGAAGTTCCCAAAAAACAGAATTTATTTTCAAAAATAACCAAGGTGACCCACTTGTACCTGGCTACACTCGTGGTGAACCCCCTCTGACTGACTCTTCAGCTCTTATATACCCCCCTAAGACCTCCCACTAGTCTGTACTATCACTCACAGGGGTGGTCTATAAAATGTATACTATACAATAATGTCCCTCCCTAGCAGGTTTCCTCTCCGGTTTCAAAGTAATGTCTAACTAAACCTAAAAACACTACATAATTGAAAACAAAACAACAAAACAACCTGTTAAACAAAACCCCAAATCCCAAACCTCCCCCATCCACATGGTCTGGTCCAAAGACCCTCCCACAGCAAACAAAATGGCCACAAAGGGCACGCCTCCTCTTTGAATGGACCATGTGGTGAGGTGAGTATAGCTGCAACTCAAAAGGTGAGTGTTAAAGAAACTATTTCATAACAAATAACATAGTAAAGCAAATGAATGTGAACAAATGAAATAAAATGTCAAAATAGGAAAAATATGGGACGAAGTGGCCTGCTTCGTCGCACACCCCCCCTCTTAAGACCGTTACTCCTCCGAGTCACGGGACAGGAAATCTGCAATAATGTTCTTATTACCGAGTTTGGACTGGATCTGAAAGCAAAATGGTTGCAGAGAAAAATACCATCTAGTAATACGAGCATTAGTGTCCTTGATTTTTATGGATCCACTAGAGTGCACGATGGTCAGTCTCTAAAACAAAATCCTTACCTATGAGATAGTATTTGAGAGTGTCCAAAGCCCATTTAATGGCTAGAGCTTCTTTCTCAATTGTAGAGTACCTCTTCTCACGGGGAAAGAGCTTACGACTAATGTATTGCACAGGTAGTTGGTTACCCTCCTCCCCTTGCAATAACACTGCACCTAGCCCTACCTCTGAAGCATCAGTTTGGACTGTAAAGGGAAGTTCAAAATCGGGACACTGCAAAACTGGCTCTCTACATAAACAGTCTCTCAGGTCATTAAAAGCATGTATGGTTTCAGGGGTCCATTTAACCTTCATTGGGCTAACTTTACAAGTCATATCTGACAAAGATGGAATGAGCCGTTGGTACCAACCCACCAACCCCAAGAAGTATCTCAGTCTTCTCTTGGTATTAGGAAGTGCAGTGGTGGCAATGGCCTCCACCTTACCAACCTGCGGATGGATACCCCCAGCTTCTATGACATAGCCCAAGTACTGCACCTCAGGCTTGGCGATGTGACACTTCTTGGCGTTTATGACGAGGCCCGCTTCCTGGATCCGCCTGAAGACATCTGACAGATGCTGTCGGTGCTCCTCCCAAGACTGGCTGAAGATCACAATGTCGTGATCATCCGGAACCTGAAAAGTCCACTGGGCACTCGAAACGTTGTGAAGTCTCTTGAAGATTTGACAAGGGACACTTGCCAATACCCCTTGCAGAGGTCAAGGGTGGTCAAGTAGGTCGCATGTCCCAGTCGTTCGATGAGCTCATCTCAGATTCAGATTCAGATTCTACCCTTGGCATTGGGTAGGGATCAAATGCAGACACAGCATTCAACTTTTCAAAGTTCACACAGAATCTGAGCTTGGGATCGTCTTTCTTGGGAACTAAGACTACAGAGCTGCACCACTCACTGCGAGATGGTTCAATAATGCCCATCTCTTCCACTTCATTCTTTAACTCTGGAATGAGTTTAGCAGGAATTCGGAAGGTGGTGTCTCTGATTGGCTGTTGCTCTGATGAACGTAAGCAGATCTGGTGTTCAATGAGATGAGTACAACCAGGTCTTGTGCTAAAAAGTTAATCTGTCATGTACCTTTGCAAGTCCATTTGTTGGCTAGTGCTCAAGTGACTCACATCAGGGAACACGTCTCTGCTGACAATGGAAAGTACTGCTCCGGAAGTTCCTCCTCATCTGCAACCTCTCGTGCCAGTAATGAAAGCTGGTCTGGACGGTTGACCCACTCTTTTAGCAGATTGATGTGGAAAACTTGATACTTTTTCCGGCGATCTGGCAAGAAGAGCTCATAGTTTACTGGTCCAGTCTTCTGATGAATCTCATATGGGCCTTGCCATTTAGCCAATAGACCACTCTCTGATGTTGGCAATAAAAGAAAGACTTTCTGGCCAACCTCGAATGATCTTCTCTTGGATGATTTGTCATAATTGTGCTTTTGTCTCTCTTGTACTTGTGCCAGGTTGCTGCAGGCAAGCTCTTTGAAGTGCTCCAGCTTGTCTCTCATTTTCAGCACGTAAGAAACTTCACTGCATCCTTGCTCTGGATTCGGCCCCTCCCATGCTTCTTTTAGAACGTCCAGAGGCCCTCAAACAGAGTGTCCATAGAGAAGCTGGAATGGTGAAAACCCGGTGGAGGTTTGTGGAACTTCTCTGTATGCGAATAGCAGAAATGGAAGCCACTCGTGCCAGTCAGAGCCTGAATCAGAAACAAACTTCCTCATCATCGATTTCAGAGTCTTATTGAACCATTCGACAAGTCCATCAGTCTGCGGATGATATGGACTTGTCTTGATGGCTTGTACTCCCAGTAGACTGTAGACTTGTTTCAGCAGTGTGGAAGTGAAGTTCGTTCCTTGGTCTGTGATGATCTCTTTTGGGATGCCAACTCTAGAGAAAAGTTGGATGAGGCAGGTGACAATTTGGCGGGCTTTGATGATCTTGAGTGGAAATGCCTCTGGATATCTTGTAGCATAGTCCGACAACACCAAAATATAGCGATATCCGGCGGTGCTACGCTCCAGGGGACCCACGATGTCCATGGCAATCCGGGAAAAGGGTGTGTCAATGATTGGCATGCTAATTAGGGGATCCCTTTCTCCCTTCTTACTTGGGGCTGTCAACTGACACTCTGGACATTACTGACAGTACTTAACTGTGTTCGAGTATTGCGGAGGCCAATAAAATCTGGGGACCATTCTTGAAAATGTCTTTGCCTGACCCAAGTGTCCTGCCCATGGAATCGAATGACTGAGATCAAGGATTGTGGTTCGTAAAGTTTGGGGGACTACTAGCTGATCTTCAATTTTACTGCGCCTGTAAAGCCTTCCATTCTTAATAATAAAACATTCTTTCCCTCTCACTGTCA